GTCGTTGTGAAGTCGGTTGGCTGTGAGGGAGAAGAGGCTTCATTGTCGGTGATTTGAGGCCAATTCGCCACTAAAGACAATTTGCCATTGAAGTTGATTCACCACCTGGTTTGCCACTGAGGCCGTTCAAGACCAAAGAGAAGGTGGGTTGCATATGACGGCAATCTAGCGACTTGAAGCTTGGCGATTGCTGGTTTCATCTCTCTAGAGCTTCTTGGACAGGTCTTCAACCTTCTTCATCGAGCTTCACCACACAATTGAAGGAAAATGTGTTGTTCACTCCCTCAAGAACTACATCAAGCTTGAGAATGATAGAAATGAGTACTACTTTTGCCACTTTGATTCTGGTTAAGAACACCACCTTGAAGAAATATGGCTATTATTTTGCATTTCTTGGACGGATGTGATAATATGATGTCAACAGGACCAAGTTGGGAGGCAGATTGCTATTCTTGATTGATAATATCAGCCGTCTAAATGTTTGGATGAAGAATTATCTTTGGTATGCCTCAAACAAACACACTACCACAAGGAAAACACCACCACCTATGCACAAGTAGGATACAGAACACCACCATCTACGCAAACGCAGGATACAGAAGAGCTTGCCGGCTCTGATACCAAATAACACCGGACCAGAGGAGCTCAACAAATCCACGTCTACGATCTAGTGATGGTTATCGATCACCACTCCAAGAACTCCTTGAGCAAGATTCCACCACCTAAGAACAAATCCTAGGATACAAGAATTCACAAGAGAGTAAACTCAAATTTTATTCATTTCTAAAAATCTGCCTCATTACACTTAATGGCTATATATTTATAGATATACCATAACAACCTGTTAGGTTACACACAACGTAGGCAAACACTAATCCTATATAGCCATCACTACAGGAAAATCATCCATTTCCGGTGGCCTTTTCCGGTGGTAATTGAACCTTTTCCGGCGGTTTTGTAGTTTTCCGGTGGTTTTTATCGGCGACAATTTATTCCGGCGGTTACAAACAGCCGGTCAAATTTAAAAAAAAAACCCTCGCCGTGCCCGCCACCCGCTGCCAGCGTCGTGTCCCGGGCTCCCGCGTCTAAGCTCCCGCGGATGGTGGCGCAGACCGCCACTCCCGCGTTCCCGGCGTAGGCCGCCGTTCCCGCATTGCCAGCGCCCCTCCCGCGCTCCGCGCACGCCCGATTCTGCGTCGGCCGTGAGATTCGAACCGCGGTCGTTCGTGACGAATTTCAAGCATCCGACCGATTTGCCGGTTATGCAAATATGTAATTTTTGTCAATATTTTTTATTTAAAGTATTTACATGACAAAAATTAATTAATTTTTTTAATTATTTTAAAAATGAAACAATTTAATTTAAAATAAAAAATAATATTTAATATAAAATAAAATTAACTAACTAAATAATTTTAAAATGAAAATTAATTAAATTGTTAATATAAGTTTTAATAATTTTTTGTTAAATCATTTAAATAGTAAAAA